TTAAACATTTAATTGAAATTATATAGTTCCTTGTAAAGTGAAAACACATTTTAATGTGAAAGTTGTAAGAACTTTATAAGGATACAACGTAATGTGATAAAAATTGGACACTGTGTAAAGAAAGGAAAAAAACTAACCAAAATACAACACATTTATATACCAGTACTCCACAATGTATTTATCCTACATTCTCCCTGTGTGTGTGTGTGGCAGGTTGGACAGACGAGCGGGTCCAGGAGTATTTCGTGTGGGCCTGCGAGGTGGTGAAAGGCCTGAGAGGAACTAACTCTGCTCTGGAGGAGAAGCTGGGTGAGCTGTTCAGACAGAGAGGGGTCCAGCTCTGACGGTGAAGAAAAGAAAACATTCAAACTACAAATAAAATACATTTTAATTAGTAAATTATGCAAATAAATCATATTTCATATACATTTGTGTGGTCTTTATTTCTTCATATTTTGGTATGTTGAAAGTGGTGTTGTGATATCAGTTGTTTTATTCCAAAAGGGCTTATGAGTATTAGTATTACTGTTAGTTATCAGCTACTGAATGATGTGATACTGCAGGCTTTACTACCTATAACTTTAAGTAACACACAAATGTTTTTTTTCTGGCATTTTGGAAGTAAAAAAACCTCAATATGATCTTGCTCTATAATCAGAGCAAGATCAAAAAGCATGTGGCATTATACGGAGCACTTTCAGAAGATGAGCATCCAGAACTATTGAATATATTTTGTATTGTATCAGTTAACATCAAGAAATGTATCACTCAATGTTTGGACAGAAGACGACCAGAATGTTAAACAAGTATAAATCCTGTAAAATTAAAACATCCTACAAATGATAAATGATGAGTTTATTTTGAACATGTATATCATTATTATTAAACATAAGTCTAAGCATGCCGTATGTACTTTATATAGACATGTATACATGCATATTCTGTATATTCACCTACTTCATGTATATAAAGTAATATGTTACTTTACCTGCACTCTTTGCATTATTACATTCTTGTTTACAAATTTACAGATTAACAGTTTGACTTGTATCTAGACAGTGTATGTAGTTGTTCATTGTTGCTTTTTATACCTATATTCATATACTTATTTATTTTTTTCACTTACTTGTGTGTTAATAGTAGTTTATTTTATCTATCTTTGTTCAGCTTTGTTGTCCTTGTTTTTAACTGTAGTTCACATACTTCACCATACACATACTCAGCCACTAGAGGGCGGGATTAGACTCTCTTATCAACTGTTTAACTTCATTTTTATTTTGGGAATAAATTCCACTGATGGCAACCAGTGAATTGGAAGTGATCTAAAAAGTCAGTAAGATAAGATTTTATACAGAAGCGTATTGCATTCACTTGAAAAAAAAAAAGTTTTTTCTGAGTAATTTAATTTTTGGTTTGTTTTTTTGAATACTTTTTGCTGTTTTTCTGACAAATTTTTTTTCTCCTGTTTTTCAGAAAACCAAACCAAAAAAAATAAATTATTTTTCAGAAAAACAGACCAAAACTAAATTACTCTGAAAAACAGAAAAAAAAAATATTCAGAAAAACAAACCAAAAAAAAAGAAATAAATACTCAGAAAAACAGACAAAAAAAATAAATACTCAGAAAAACAAACCCAAAAAAAGAAACAATTACTCAGAAAAACAAACCCAAAAAGTAAATCTCCAAGTGAACGCGATAAGCTTCGGTAATGTTTTTGTTTCGTTGGGAGGAAATTACCTTGGGAACAAATCCACTTCCGGCCCGTTCGCTCTTCCGCTCGGTTGCAGCGACCTGCTCGTTTCTGCTCGTCGTTTTAACTTCTGCTGACTCGGTACCGTCCACCGGTACCGTCCACCGGGAACAACATGTCGAGTCGCGAAGCCCTCAACATGAAGCTTCCTCCGATCCAGTCCACCGCCGGAGCGGTTCCGGTCCGGAACGAGAAAGGTGAGACACCGCCGTTAGCAGCGTGCTAAGTTAGCGGCGTGCTAACCTCACTGCTAACATCAATAAAACAGAAGATATCAGTTATTGATTAATGCTGAATCAATAAACAGCATCAGTGGAAGCAAATGAATGCTGATGATATTCTGTGACGTTACAAACACATGTGTATGTGATGTTATTAAAGTAAATGGTGTAAAAACGGAGGAATTAAAGTTTCAGTGGAATTAAATCTTATATAAATGTATTATTATTATTATTTTTATTCACTTTAACTGCAAATTAATCAACAGAGAAAATCTTTATATAAATGTATTATTATTATTTATTTTTATTCACTATTAACTGCAAATTAAATCAACAGGAGAAAATCTTATATAAATGTATTATTATTATTATTTTATTCACTATTAACTGCAATTAATCAAACTGAGAAAATCTTATATAAATTGTATTATTATTATTTTAATCACTTTAATGCAAATTAATCAACTTGAGAAATCTTATATAAATGTATTTATTATTATTATTTTATTCACTATTAACTGCAAATTAATCAACAGAGAAAATGCAAGTTCCAGTAGAAGTTATGATCAGACTTGTAGGTTTGTAGCTTTCTGGTCATTTCTATTCAATAATGTTAGTAAGATATCCGGATATTGTCTCAGAAACAACTTAAAAAGTATGAAACATGTTTGTGTTTTTATGGAAAGTAATTCACAGTTTAATTAACAAGCACAGACTTTATATAAAGACCTGCTGAGTAGTTTACAGTGTAAAACAAACACTGCACAATAAGTCGAAATATTATCAAAATCAAAAAAAATTGTCAGAAAATTACTACGAAAACCTAACAATAAAAATAAATTATTCCGAAAAACAAGCCAAAAAAAATAAAATAATTTCTCAGAAAAACACAAATAACTACTAAAAAACAAAAAGGCAAAACCTGCATTATACAAACCGTAGAAGCTTTTGATAAAAGCTTTATAAAAGATTTATAAAACAACATCATAATGAAGTTCTGTAGTGCTGCAGAGATGCTCTTCTCCAGATGTAAGAGAACATGTTGGTTTGGACCCAAACAAATGTTACATCATGATTTTAATAGTTGAAATAAAAAGATTACACGTGACTCACATCACAATCCTAACATCTGTATTATCGTAACATGACTTGCAGCCTCTATTGGAGCACAATATATCAGTATCAGCTGGTATTCTCACTATTAATTAATCTATCGCTTGTTTTTTTTACAACGCACGCAACGATGAACCGACTGTTTAAAATAGATGAAGATAAAGAAGAGTAGATAATTCAATTTGCAGTTATATAAAACACCTAAAGCAGCAAATCCTCACGTTTGAGAAGCTTTAACCAGCGAATCTTACGGCAGTTTTGTGTCAAACAATTCTTTGACTATCAGATTTGTTGCAGATAATTGATTTAACAACTGTATTGGATTAATATCAGATTAAAAAAACCCTAATCCTCTTATTTCTGACTCGACAAAAAGTCATTATTTTATTCATCAGAGCTGTTGAATCTGTATTCCTAATTAAGGATTCTTGATAAAAACTGAAATAGATCCAAGCAGACATCTTAACTCATTGTTGTCTCTGCACATCCCAGGGGAGCTCTCCATGGAGAAGGTGAAGGTGAAGAGGTACGTGTCGGGTAAGCGTCCCGACTACGCGCCGATGGAGTCGTCCGACGAGGAAGACGAGGACTTCCAGTTTGTGAAGAAGGGAAAGGAGCTGGAGCCAGAGGTGGAGCTGGAGGAAGAGGATGTCTCTGACCCACGTCTCAAACGTCTTCTCAACCGTGTCTCTGAGGACGTGGAGGAGAGGTATCACACAGAAGAGCTGAAGATTTGATTTCACTGTTAACGATCTTTAACATCTTGTGGTGCTGAAATGCTCGTTTGACCACGTTTCTTCCCGGTTCTTCGTCCTCAGGCTTGCGAGACACAGACAGATCGCAGAGCCTGAAGTTGTGGCTGAGAGCAGCGAGGACTCTGATGAAGGCACCTGGCATCCAGAGCAGGAGATTGAGAGTAGCGAGGAAGAAGAGGAGGAAGAGGAAGAAGTGGATGATGAGGTTACTATATGTGCTGATTTGATTTTACCCTAAATGTGTGCTTCTCCCACTCATTGAAGAATTCAGTGTGTCTTTACTTCAGGAACGTTTTTAACATGGACTCTGATTCTGTGCAGGAAATCGAGAGGAGGCGAGCGATGATGAGGCAGCGAGCGGTTGAACGGAAGAACGAGGAGATGGAGGTCATGGAGGTGGAGGAGGAAGGGAAGTCCGGGGAGGAATCAGAGTCCGAGTCTGAATATGAAGAATACACCGACAGCGAGGATGAAGCAGAGCCTCGACTCAAACCCGTCTTCATTCGCAAGTATGAACGACTGCAAATGTTTCTACAAAGAAATGCACTTTAACACATTCGAGTCTAAAATGCCTCATTAACATAGTTTGAATCCCTCAAAGAAGTTAAATATCCCATTAGTGGACTTTGAGGTTGGGATTTCCTGCAGTGAAAGATTGCAAATGTAGATATATAATATATTTATTCAGTAAAACGTTGTGTTTATGTGCACATTGATGATTTAACTCCTTGAGTTGAGAAGTGAACATAATTAGACATTATTAGATTTTATAATGATGCAAATTTGTAAATAAAAAAACACACAGATAAGTGTTGACTCATTCAAATTGATTTATTTGTAGCATATAAACAATAGATAAAAACAATAAAACCATGAATGCGAGGTAATAAGACTTCATTTCCGCTTTATATGATGTTTAATGTGTCTCCTTTCTGTTTGCACTATAGGAAGGACAGAGTCACAGTGGCGGAGCGGGAAGCAGAGGAGCAGCGGCAGAAAGAGCTGGAGGTCGAGGCCAAGAAGCAGGTGGAGGAGCGACGGCGCTACACCCTCAAGATTGTGGAGGAGGAGGCTAAGAAGGAGTTTGAGGAGAACCGGCGCACACTGGCTGCTCTCGACGGTCTGGACACTGACGGAGAGAACGAGGAGGAAGAATACGAATCCTGGAAAGTCCGAGAGCTGAAGCGCATCAAGAGGGACAGAGAGGCCAGAGAACTGTGAGTCCCTACAGTGACTTTTTGATGAAATGAACTTGACATATTTAGTACCCTCCAGTAAGTACAGTGCTGTTGATGGTAATGAGTGTTAAATGGTGTTTGTCCTCAGCATGGAGAGGGAGAAGGCTGAAATTGAGAGATTCCACAACTTGACAGAGGAGGAGCGCAGGGCTGAGCTCCGCAACAGCGGCAAAGTCATCACCAACAAAGCCACCAAAGGCAAATACAAGTTCCTCCAGAAGTACTACCACAGAGGAGCCTTCTTCATGGTAAGTCACTGCAGGGGGGAATTCTTTCCAGGAACGCAGTTTAATCCGACCACCTCAGCTATGTTTACCTTTACTCCTTATTTCACTAGTATTAGGAATACTTTATTATTCTCTATTTTTTATTGTACGTATACGTTACATGTACTTTTTATGTTCTAGCATCCCCTTCTATCTTGGTCAGCGTACACCTCTTAAATATATCTTTAATCTCAGAGCTGCATTTTTCTGGTTAGATTAAGCTTCTACTAAGGTAAAGAACTGATGAATCTGTGTATCAACATTTTCACATTAAATCTAAAGATGTACCTGCGTAGTTTAACATTCACAGAGCTTATCAGTCTGGTTTTAACTTCACCTAGTTTCAGTTATCAGTGCTTTTTAAAGATAAACACTAGAGCCCAACTACTGCAATAACGCGGCCAATGCCACAGGTATATCCATATCAGTGTACATGTTGGTCAATAAGTGACAAATTGCAGTACAAAAATGTTTGAGAGCACTGACAGGTTTATGTTTTAACAGTAAAAATGTTTTTAATTAAAAAAAAAAGCTGATGAAGTTTGATTTGTTGTGTTACACACAGTAAATCATCAGCTGCTGACACCACAGTGGCCGGTGCAGGATGCTGAGTGGTCTTCAACTGTTAAACATGATTTCTGTTACAGGACGGAGAGGACGACGTGTACAAGAGAGACTTCAGCGCACCCACTCTGGAAGATCACTTCAACAAAACCATCTTACCCAAAGTCATGCAGGTCAGCTGCTTTTCCTCACACATCATCTGTGTCTCACTGCACTGTGGGTTATTCACCTGTGATCAATGAATCACCTAGAAGTTTAAAGCCCCTACACTTCCATGTTGTGCTGATTCTGGCGGCCCCTGTGGACAAAAGCGGTCGTGTTTCCACCGAATTGTTCCATTGATTTCAACGGGAGTCCGACTGAATCAGACATCAAGAAAAACTACTTAGAAATAGCCGATCTTCTTTATGAGGGTCGTGTTTGTTTATGTAGGTCATATAGAGGCATCAGTATTAAATTGAGGTTTCATAACCAGCTCAAATTTAAATTTAGCTTAAATTTAGGGTTCTTGCCTTTTAAAAAATATATATATATATATTTTTAGTCCGTAGCGTGTACCAATGCTTTACTGAAGCTAAAGCATATTTACAAGTTAAATATTTTAACCCAAGAAAATGGACGCAACTTTGATCGTCCCTGTTAGTCTTGTTCAAGGGACATTTACACCACTATATCTGCAGTTTCCCTCTGAATTACAGTGCAGTGATCCAGTTCTCTGATCTGACCTGTTGTGGTTTGTTTTCCCCCCATAAGGTCAAAAACTTTGGTCGGTCTGGACGCACCAAGTACACCCACCTGGTGGACCAGGACACCACGTCGTTCGACTCAGCCTGGGCCCAGGAGAGCGCTCAGAACAGCAAGTTCTTCAAGCAGAAGGCGGCAGGCGTGAGGGACGTGTTTGACCGGCCCACAGTGAAGAAGAGGAAGACTTAAGGTGTGTGAGGATTTGGAACGGACTTCACCAGGACCACAGTGCAGCTTTAGAGACTGTACAGAGACCACGCTGCAGCCTGATTGAATTTCTTTCCTGGACTTTATGGAAGTAAAATGGACAGATTCCACCACTTTGATAAATTGTTTATCTACCAGGAAGATGCACCATCATTTAAAGAAACCTAATGTTGGCCCCTCACAATCCTACTTAAAATGCAGCTGGTTTCAGTTCAGCAACGTGCAGAATTAAGCTTTTGTTTCTTATTAAATTTAAGGTTTGTCGCATTTTTAAGAGTTGCAGGGTAAACATTAATATAATCACCTTCGTCTGTAATGTCCTAAAAACGTCTGTCCACAGGTTTCACACCCAGATACATCCTTCAGTTGGAAAGCAGTGGGCTGATGTCATTTTGTACGATAGGATTGGAGATTGATTTTCTGCATTGCCCCTTTTTTCTTTCATATTTGTAAAAGTACATGTATTGTAACTTGATTTCTTTGTGAATAAAGCTTCATTTTTAAAACTTTTCCACAGAGAGCAAAACAAGTATTAATGACTCGAATCATCACAGGCACAAAAGGACACAGGTCAGGTTTTTATTTTAAAAAAGAAAAAAAAATGATTTGGGGTGAAGATTACATCACAACCGCCGCTGACCGCTGAGTTCAGTCTCATTGTCTTGATGAGCTCTGGTAAAAAAAACAAATTGTAGCAGTCCAGTGTGTAAATGTTTGTTCAGTTGGTCAGAGCCACCAGAGCCTCCACCACGTTCCCCATGTGTTCCCTCAGACTGCGTTCTGCCACGGCCCGCGAGATCTCCATCTCTGACATCTGCACAACAACATAAACATCAGGATGTGAACCAAATGTACAGTTAATGAATCCAGTTCTAACTTAAGGGCGAACTGCAAGAACCTCAACGTTTTGATAAAGTGATGTCAGGCTGCAGATTGTCTACAAATATTGTTCTCCAGATTTAAGAGAACGTGTGTTTTGTACACACCCCCAAAATTTCACACATGATTTTAATAGATTTTTCTAGTAAAAATGTCATTTGTGATGCAAAAATAACTTTCAAAATAATGGCAATATGATGTTTTTACTATATTGTGCAGTTTAACTACCATAACTGTGTTATAAATGACATAAAACAGTATATAAACACTCCTGTCTACATGCGTGCTCTGGGTCTGGTGCTGTTCATGGTTTTTGCCCATTGATTCCAATGAAGGGAAATCTTAATGCTCCAGCATACAATGATAATTTAGACTACGGAGTTTGCGTTTGTCCTTCCGTGCACAAAGCCAGCTCTGTAAAGAAATGGTTTTCCCAGTTTGGTGCAGACGACCTCACTGGCCCTCACACAATCCTGATCTCAACCCCAATGTACAACCTTAATCTACCACTTCTGGGATCAACTGAATCACAGATTTGTCACCCAACACCAGTGATGGACTTAGTAATGCTCTTGTGACTGAAATCCTTCCTATCAGAGTGGAGGCAGTTAGAGCAGCACATTAATGTCTGTGGTTTTGGAATGACATTTCATTTTCACACAAGGGTGTACTGTTCTGGTGTCCACATACTTTTGGCCACGTAGTCTACCAGAAACAGACGTTTGTGGCTTTCACGTCACCTGATCAGGTGGACAGAAATGAAAAACAGTGAAGAACTTACAATTAGTTCTACATCCTCTTTCTTGATGGTGACCTTGGCCAACTCTTTTTCTCTGGAAACAAAAAACAAAACACACACAGTGAGAACATTTACCTGAGTTTGTTTTCTACAATAAAGTGAACATGATCTGAAAAATCTGCTATTAGAAAGGTTATTTTATTTCAGCTGTGATTGTAGCTGATTGCTGGGTAACTACAGGATTCATGTGCTATCCAAAATAATGAAAACAGGAGCTGCTGGTACATTTTGTGTCCAGGTGTAAAGGACGGGAGGGTGAACATGAATCCTACCTCTCCTGTTTGGCTTTCTGTTCTCGTGACCTTCTGTCTCCAATCACTGACATCGCCTGAAAGAACAAAACTTTATTAGTCGTTTTCACCCAGTTTCCAATATGAAAACCAACACAGAGAAAGTCCTGTAAGCACATTTAACTAGAAACCATTGTTAATAAATAAAAACCACAGTTTGACCTTTTTCTCTCCACGTTACGGTATTAAAATATAGAATCTACTTATTTTATTTAGGCTGCTTATGTTTGTGATATTTGGCCATTATCACAATATCATTAAAAACATACTCTAATTTGCTGTTTACTATAAAAGATATCTCACATTTGCATCACTTACATCTATTAATGAGCTACTTTTCATAGTTTTCTGGATAATTTAACAATTATTTTGACATTTACCATCGATCATCTGGAAGTAATTGTACTGTGATATTTTTTACAATACATAAAGTTGTCGTCCACTTTTCTACTGTAAAAGGATTGTTTCCATTTATCTTAAATACTCGAAGAGGTCATCTGAAAAACAGGAATCACCTGTTACAACAAGCCCACTGGTGCCTCCCCCTCCTGAACAGGTACTTGTGATATATGTTGAAATAATAAGAGGATCTTTACAACTTATTACTTCTATTAGACGTCTCTTTACAGTTCAGTCTTAATCCATTCTGCATCTCCCTTCAGAAAGAACAATTCACTTGTAGTGGTCCAACTTGACATCTTGTCACCATTAGAAAACATGACATTGTGATTATATTAATAGTGTTGTTGAGGAGCCCGGATATTACTTTCTGTTCTCAACCCTTTGTCCTTAAGGGAGCCGCTTTCTATCATTGAATAAACTGACAATAAACTGTGACATATTTGATAGATTTCACATTATATTTCAACTATAAGAGTACAGAACAACTAGCTGTGAATACAATAACTGCAAGAAGTTTGTGTAAAATGAGCAATCTGGATGAATATCGATCAGAGATTAGTTTTCTTGGTATTTTATTTTAATTATATTTTAATACAATTCTGTCTGTATTGTGTATTTTTTTAACAATCATATATACTATCTAAACTTTAAAAAAATACAATTTCATTTGGTTTTCTTAAGAAATAAACCAAACTGTATATATTTGTACGTTCTCTTGGACCCCTCCAGGTTGGGAACCACTTCTTTAACCCGAACTTAAACTGTAATATTGACTAAATGTATTAGCTGTTCTATTTACTTTATGCTTCTTACACTTGTTTAATGTGTAATTTGAGTTAATCATTACTTTATGTTGTATTTCACATTGTTTTTGTGTATCTGCACTTTGTTCTGTGCTGTACTGGTGGAGTTAAAGATACTGAGACTATTTAACATGTTCAATGAACCA